ATCACAAATGTCACTATGAATTAATTCAAGTGGTTCCGTACATCTTTCAATTGAATGAAAAGGAGTTTTAGATAATTTAGCCTCAACGCAAATTTTACATTTATGATTTGAATCAATATTAAATTTAGGTAAACATTCCATATTAATTAATCTATGTAAAGATCCATAATTAACATGTCCTAGTCTACCATGCCATAAATTTGAAGACTCAAGCAAGTAAGAAGAAGGTGTAGTATTATTAATAACTGAGGGTACAACGGTCATTACATTTAACTTGAAAAGGCCATCTGACATGTAACATTTTCCTACATACATCTCATTCTTAGTAAGTACAAATTTATCACTCTCAAATACTAGCCTAAACCCATTCTTACTTAACAAAGATCCGGAAACAAGATTCTTGCGAATGTCCGGTACATGCAGCACATTGTTGAGAGTGAGTTCCTTTACAAATGTCATCTTGAGTACAATCTTTCCTTGTCCTTCAATGTTGGAATTTGAGGAGTTCCCCATAAAAAGTTGTTCACCATTGTCCACTGAAGAATAAGATGTGAACATCTTTTTGTCGGCACAAATATGGCAAGTAGCACCAGTGTCCACCCACCATTCTTTAGGATTTTTGACAAGATTTGCCTCGGAAACAACTGTAGAAAGATTGATTTCATCGACACCATTGAAAATATTGTCCACTTCAGTCATATGGGCTTGAGCAGGCTTCTTGCTTGTTCTTCTTTTACTTTTGCCTTTGCTACGGCAATCTTTGGCCCGATGTCCCTCTTTGTCACAAATGTAATATTTGCCATTAAACTTGTACTTTTTATTTCCCTCCCCCCCTTTAGAGCCATGTGAAGAACTTTCTCCAAAAGACTTTCGTTTCTTGGTTTTTGAAGCATGTTCCACCACATTTGCCTTAGACTCCATAGGATGCTTACCAGCCCGCTTTTCAGAATTGCGCGCACAATTAACTCGTCCATAGAAATTTCTTTGCACTTGTGTTTGAGGTAGTTCTTGAATTCCTTACAGCCTTTTGGTAATTTTTCAATTAAGGCTGCAACTTGGAAGGATTCACTGAGAGACATGCCTTCTGCGTGAATGTCATGTAGAATGAGTTGGAAATCTTGAGCTTGGCTGATCACAATTTTTGAATCAACCATTACAAAATCCAGGAATCTGCCTACCACAAATTTCTTTGAGCCGGCATCTTCCGTTTTGTACTTTTTCTCCAACGATTCCCAAAGTTCCTTTGCTGTCTTGATTGGACTGTAGACGTTGTATAATGTGTTGTCAAGTCCGTTCAAGATGTAGTTCTGGCAAAGGAAATCGGCATGTTTCCAAGCATCAACCGCAGCAACCACTTGTCGGTCGGTTTCATCCTCTTTCAGGATAGGAGTATCTTCACGGAAGAAACGAGCCAGGTTCAGAGTTGTAAGATAGAACAACATTTTCTGTTGCCATATTTTAAAGTCAGTTCCTGAGAACTTCTCTGGCTTCTCTCCATGATTTATTGGTACTGTCATCACAGGAGGGGGGTTTGGTGCAATTGCAGCCACCACAGTAGTACTTGTTTGGGCATTAGTTTCAGTAGCCATCAATTCTAATATATAAAACAAAATTATAATTAGAATTTACACTACACAGAAAATTAAACCAAATTCACATAATTAAATTCTGTAAAAATAAAATAAACAAGAATGTAACTTTTATTTTCCAATTAATTTGGAAATAAAATAAAATTTTATTCAACCAAATTAATTCCAAACAGGAAATTAAATTCTGTAAAATAAAATAAATAAGAATATAACTTTTATTTTTTCAATTAATTTGGAAATAAAATAAAATTTTATTCAACCAAAGTAATTCCACACAGAAAATTAATTTCTTTAGCACTTCAATAATTAAAATACTAAAACAGAATTTTAAGTAATGAAAACTCAGAAAATAATTTCTAAAACCCAAAATTAATTTCTGAAAAAATTTCACAAAAATATATTCTGAATTGTTAATGACACCAGTATCGTACTACTAGTTGTTGTTAAAGAAAAGAGACAGTATATTACTACTATCTATCAAATAGCATACAATCACTATTTGTTTTTCCAATCAGAATATTATTTGGAAATTCACAGAAAATAATTTTCTTCCGAAATTATTTACGAAGAATGAAAAAGGGAAACAAACGAAAAATTCTGTAAACAGAATAATTCGAATCTGTCTTAAGATTGTTGGAACAATCTTCTGTGTAAATAAAATAACTAGAAATAAATTCAAACAAAATAAATAAATAACATACCGGATTTATTTATCGAACCGAATTAAAATTAAGACCAAGTCGAGTGTGTGACACTCTATCCTTAAGACAGATTCGCCCCGCTACGGTACTTACGGTTGAGTGGCGTCTATCTCCCAAGATACAATGATCTTCACAAAATTGTTGTAGCACACCAAACAAAATTGTACGGCGAACCAAACCTAGTGTTCTATACTCTCCTAAATTTAATCTAAAACTAATATATGAAGAATAAATGCAATAGAATAGAATAGACAGCAAAGAGACAAAAAACAGACTGATATTCTCCGGGGGTTTAGACTGCTGGAATATGGCTCTATATGTAGACAAATCCAGCGGTCCGAATAGGTGCAACCTGTTATAAACAGATTCTGTCCGTTTGCCAATCAACACTTTTATTCAAATTTTGAAAAAGAACCGTTGGTCCAAGTATAAAAGTGTTGGTATATTTGTTTTATTACACTATTTGAAAATAGTACCGTTGGAGACCAAGCCCAAAAACTGTTGAAAATATTTTATTATTAAAACTATTTAAATAGTTTTATCAAACAAGCCAATTAGTGGAAAAGTGTTTACTAACTGTTTGGAAAATTATTATTAAACTATTTGAATAGTTTAATCAATAAGAGAAAAGGTACAAACTTTAGAAAACTAAAATTTGAATTTAGAATTAAATTAAATTAAATTTCCAAAATTACAAACTTTAGGAAACCACTTAGGAACCCAAAATTTGAATTTAGAATTAAATTAAATTCCCACAATAATTTTGATTGAAAAAATTCAAATGAATTTTATCTAAAAAAAATTAATGTTAGACCCGAAAACGACGTCAACTTACCATTCACTCATAAATGATTTTGACGAACTGTCTTCATCGTGTGACTTGCCACGTGGCAAGGAACACTTCACCTCTTCGGACCCGCCCCAAAAGACGTTCGGGGCCTACTCAATTTTAAGGTCAAAGTCGGCCCAAAATATGCCTTATATAAACCAATTTTCCAACAAATCCTGCCTAATTGAAGGTGTGGAACATTTTGAGTGCACAAGGCTCTTTTTCTTTTGTGATCTTTGGCAAGCCAAAGGCTTAATGTGTATGGGTTTGATAACCATTTTTGTATAACAAGACTCAAGCCTTGAAACTTGTAACCATTGAACATTTACCTTGTTATTTTATTTTACTTTTATATTGTCACACATGTTATAAATTTATACTTATAGAAGATTGAGTATGTATTGCATGTGGACAATTTTGTGTACCTCTATTATGAATGAAATGTTAATTGAGCGAATTGATTAATCAAATTAAGATCCTTTATTGGATTAAACAATCTGGCCTATTTGATGTCAATTATTTGGGGTATTACACTTTGGCATAAATATTGAGTCGACTAGCTTGTAGCTCATTTCTAATGTTAAGTTGAATACCATAAGTCGATCCTAATCCATTTTCACGAAAGAGTTATGGAACAAGACAATTTACAATTTTGAATAGACAAATTTTTAGGCTTTACAAAAATAAATAAAATAAATAAAATAGTACATTAATAAATTTAATTTACTACTATCATATGCTAAATTAAAATTATGAAATTTCTAAAATGAAATGCATTTATATTTCATCGTAAATATATTTTTTAATTTTTACTAATTAAATTATGACATATAATTTTTTATTAAGAACTTATAACACAATTAATGACATCAAAAAAAAAATCTCTTATGTGTAATTCTGACAAAAATAAATTAAATTTAATTGATTATTAATTATTTTTACTACATATTTTAAATAATTTTTATATTATCATTTTAATTTTAAAACTAATTTTTCATTATTTATTATACTTGTGCATGGGTAATATATTAGTTAGACTTATGATATGAATGTGGGTTTGAAAAGTTAAAAATAATAATAATAAAAAAATTACTTCTTCCTTTTTTATAATTAGAAAGTGAAGATAAGATAAGATTGGAATATTTTTTTGAGAAGGATCCCTTTTGGTTCAAAATTTAGATGGAAGCGGATTGTTTGGGTTCGTGGGGGCTCACTACGGACCTGTTCTCATGATTTAAATTATTTATTTTGTTAAGTATTTTATGTATTTTATTCATAAAAAAAAATTAAATTAATTCGATAACTATAACTTGTTTAATTTATTGTATTACAATTGTGTTTTTTTTTTTTTAAAAATGAAATTTTTGATAATAAAAATAATAAATTAAACAGGTTGTAGTTATCAGATTAATCTAATTTTTTGTGTGAATAAAATATACAAAATATTTAACAAAATAAATAATTTAACTCATCAAAATAAGATCCGGAAGGAATCTTACAGTCCCAAATAATTCCTTCAATCTAAGGAGTGATTTGAGATGTTGTAAATAAATGTATTTTTTAATTTTTTATAAAAAAAAATATATAAAAAAATAGAGAGAACATATAAATTAATGTAACATAAAAAAATAAAAAAATAAAAATATGGACTTATTTAAGAAATGATGTATGTTTGGTTTGAGTTTGGGAGATGAGTTTTAGAGATAAAAAGTATAAAAAGTTATTTGGTTTGATTTTTTTTAAAAGATGTTTTAAAAAATTATTTTGAGAGAGAGTTTTGGAAAAAGTGATTGATTTGATATGTATGAGATAGAGATTTGTTTGGAAAACTTATAAACCAAACAAGTTTTGGAAAAATTTGTTTGGTTTGATTACTTTTAAAAACTTATTTGTAAAAAATTATTCCCAAAATTTTTTGAGAAAGACAAACCAAACAAGACCTAAAACATTATATAAAATTGTTTTTAAGCTCTTTGTGAAAAGGAAATAAACTCTGCCAGAAAGAGACCTTAAAGAAAGAAAGAGCCACCCCCTTTTGAAAAAGAAAAGAAAATACCCGGCGGCTGTGGGAGAGATCAAAGTCCCTTCAGTGATGAGAAATCCACCGGCTGTTGATCGCTGAACGTAATACTCAACTAGGGCTTCCCCTGGAATCTCATTCAGTGCTCTGCATCTAGTCATTGGTGCCAGCACCACCCTGATCCATCGCAAAAAAATAAAAATAAATAAATAAATAACAAACCCAATTCAATTCAATTCAATCCAATCCAATCAAACCAAACAAGAGTAAACATGCTCTTTTAAAATCCCTAACCTTTCCATATAATAAATTAGATCTAACAATTGCTCTATTTTAGTTTACAGTAGTAGTAGTAATAATAATAATAATAAGATGGAATGGAATGGAATGGTGACAGATAGTCATTCTTAGACTCCCTTGCTGAAATCTCTCCAATTTTTCCATGGAAATGGATGGTAAAGAAGACGAGAGACTCTCTAGGAGTAAGATCAGGGGTTGGAACAGCGAACAGAGAGAGAAACAGAGGAGGAGGAAGGAGGGAGGGAGAGAGGAGTGACCTGTGAGAGAGCTTGAACTTTCCCATCTTGAAAGGAGAGAAGAGACTTGCACTACCTTTATCCGACCTCGTCTCCGCCATTACAAGTGATCGGATGAATTCGCTTTAACCTCACAACAACTTCGGACAACAAGATTCAAACAACAATGCAAAGACTGACTGCTACATAATAATAGCACAAATACATTAATATACAGAGGATTGTAGGGGCTCGTTTGGCAACGAGCTAAAAAAAAGTCAATTTTTTTAGTTTTTTAACTTTTTTTTAGCAAAAAAATCATTTTTTTTTTTTTTTTTTTTTTCAAAAAATGTAT